TTGTGAATTGTATTTTAGAGTTTATAGAGTTAAGGTGGTTTAAAAATGCAGTTACTTTGTCAGATGGTAAAATTGTGAAAGTGTCGTCTACGTACCGCTTGTAGAATCTTGGATTTACAGGAGCAGTAAGAAGGGCTTTCTCCTCGAAGCCCTCTATAAATATGTCAGCGACTATGGGAGATACAGGTGAGCCCATCGCCACACCATCTACTTGATTGTAGAACTCTTCCTTCCACAATAGATAGCCAGATGTGAGGCAGTGTTTGAGTAATACTGCATATTCAGCAGGCATGTTATTATATTCTAGCTTCCTAGTTACAATTGATATGCAGTCTTCAATAGGTAGGCATGTGAATAGTGACTGAACATCAAAACTGACCATAGTTTCATTGTCAGCGAGATGTAGGTCTTTTATCTCACTAACAAAATGGTATGAATCCTTTGTGTGTGCACTGGTATGTCCTCTCAGTGGTGACAGCACTTTTGCCAAGTGTTGTGCCAGCTTATAAGCTGGTGAATCAATCTGGCTCACTATAGGACGTAGTGGAGCGTTTTGTTTGTGTATCTTTGGTAACCCATACAACCTCGGTGGTTTGGTACATGATGGTATTAGCGAATTCACGTCGAGATTTAATTTTTCGGAGTGTTTCTTTATTAAATCGCTAGTTGCTTTAAGTGTGTTAGTTGTGGGGTCATCTTGAAGCGAGCTTCTATTAAAACATACTACAAGCCGCCGAAGAAGATTAGTCAATTTTTACCATCCGTCAAGTGTAATATCCCTCTACAAGATGCAGGAGTGTACAAGTTAGATTGTGAATGTGGTCTCTCTTACATAGGTCAAACAAAAAGATCCATAAAAACCCGCGTGAAAGAACATATAGCTGACGTGAAGCACCGACGCTCCGGGAAGTCTGCAGTCTGCGATCATGTTCAAGATCGTCCCCACCATTACATTCGTTTTGATAAACCACAAATTCTCGCAAAAGAACACCGATTCCTACCAAGGATGATACGCGAGGCTATTGAAATTAAAAAACATCCAAATTTCAATAGAGAAGATGGATGGGTGCTGCCACCTGCTTGGGATCCTATAATTAACAAAATTAAACCCAAACCTAAGCATACCACTGCAAGACTTCATGATGCTATAAGCTCGTTTTGCGTAAATCGGACCAAAAATTAATATTCAAAAACTGAAGGTAGCCGGACTAACTATGACATTGGGACGTCAAACGTCTCAGTCCCCCCCCGTGACCATGGTTGCTGTAAAGCACCCGAAACGTCGGGAATTAATAATAAGTAAAAGTAGTGAAATAAACGCGATAAAATCCGTAAATTTAGTTTTATTCAATGTGTAGTGTTCGCGTAAATTTAAGAAATCATTAATTTGATAGTTCTTATGAAGACAGAAAAAGATTCGATCTCAAATCGACATACCTATGTCAATAGTTTCATCTGTCAACCTGTCATCAAAGTCAAACTTAACGTCTGTGGCGAATGCTACACGCGTGATATTTATCACGATCTGGGACATGAAGGTTATAATAGATGGTTTTTGACGCCATTTTTTGTTCGCGATGAACAAAAGAAAGATATCGTAGTAGTAGTCTCAAAGATTTATTTGATTGAATTTAGTTTTATTACTTACTTTATTTTTGGTATTGTGCTTGTGTCTTGTTTGTTCGGAGGTTAGAATAATAAAAAATAGAGACATATTTTATTGTGCGTGGATGTGCAAGGTTTAGCATCTGATCGGAAAAATAGACTCAAAATGAATTTTATTGACCAAACCTCGAGCGATCGCAGCGCCTCACTTATGGTGTCCATATTTCTGGACACTATTTTCTACGGTGATCGTTCTCCTGTTCTTTAACCTTTATGATCTGGGACGTGATCTGGAACGATGTTATCGAGATCCATATCGACTCACCCTACACGTCAGTATTGGGCACAGAGTACTTTTTGTATACCTGAAAGTATTGGGCACAAAACTGTTAAGCGCAGACATATCTAAAATAGACGGAAATGAATAGAGAGCTTGTGAAACTATCATTATGGCAATAATATTAAAAAGGAGAGTGAAAAGGAGAATCTAGGCTAAACAGTGGTACCGGCTTAAAGGAAAATGTACCCATTTAAATTTATTAGACGAGATTATACTTACTGAAGAAATGGACGACTACAAAAATTATTTTCGCATAAGTGATAAATGTTTTGCCAACTTATTGGAATTGGTCACTCCTTTTTTAATTAAACAGGATACAGAAATTAGACAATCTATTACTCAATTTAATTTATTACCGAATTCAAATTCAATTCATAAGCGACAGTAGCCTAATGGCAGGGCGCGGACCGCGAACTCTAAAAGGTCGTGGGTTCGAATCCGCCATTCGACTACTGGCGTGAACCACTCGTAAAACAAGCAATTTAAGCTTACCACGAGTGGTTAAGGGGAATATTAGTAATATTTATAGCATTGTTAATATTCTTTTTTTTTTAAAGAAAGAATTTAATTCTATTGAAGCGTTATTTTTTATTTTTTTATAAATTGGTAGTAACTTGAAGTGCCCCCATGCGCTTACAATTGTTTTTAAAACCACCACACGATGTGTCTCATAATATGGGCGTTGTTTCCAAACATAATATAAATATTTTGCATGGATTGTCGATGGTCCCGTCGAAACAGGATTCTCGATTTCGTTCGCGATTTCGCCCGCATCGCTACAAAAGTCATCCTCTTCCATCGCTTTTCCAGCGCAGACTGACGCGATTCGTATAGCAGCAACACTAGCACTACACGCGCAATATTTATCACGATCCTTGGATCGCGTAATGGATTTTCGGAAATCTAGAAATTCTGTGATCCGTATCGCAATCCATTAATACTTGATACTACACGTTCAATAAATATCATGATCCTGGATCGTGATAAATATCGCGCGTGTAGCATTCGCCTATTAAATATCTTCCAGGTATTTATAACGTACTCTGTGCTGTGATAACCTGTAACCTCTAATGTAGGTATGGAGTGTAGAAGTAAGGAGTACAGACTGCGTACTGTAAAAGTGTCCATAAAAACCATTAAATCAGGGTGGCGCCACTATAACTACGGGGTAAATTTTAAAGACCGAACCGAAAAATATTAGTGGGATAACCGACTTTTCCAAGGTTATATTTACTAAATAAAATTATTTTAGATTTTAGAGCTACTGAGCAGTTTAGCACCACACTTAAACCGTCAACAACTCTTAAGTTCATTTCATCCCAGTAGCTACTTCAGCGCTGTTGTGGAGAGTTTTTGAGCTGTTATTTACTGCTTACAAATGGCCACTTTTTCAACTGTTCTTCTATGGGAGTTGGTACTCCTTACTTCTACAATTCATACTCTAATATTTTACTCAGAAGGGCTAGAACCCGGAGCCTTAAAGCCAGTTAATAAAAAATAATAATTGTATGCAGTGTTGCCATATATACAGATTTCCCCGTATTTATACAGATTTTTGGTGTGTGATACAGATTAGCACTGGGTACAGATTTTTATACAGAGTTTTCTAACTCTATTGATTGGATTACCATAATATTCAACTTAAAATAGAATGAAGCAAAATAAGTAACTAGATACCGCGTTACACACATTCATGATTTTATTATTTATGGTTAATTTATTTTTTCACAGCGTAATTAGTTATTATGGCAGAATTACAAGTGTATTACAAAATATGTATACAAGGTGTAATTGTAAACACTGTTTTCACTAAAACCATAGGTAGTTTAGTTAGTAGGCTTTAATATTAAAATATTTATCCGAATTCTAAAAAAAAACCCTATTTTCTTTTATAAAATTTAAGAGGTTTATGTCCGAAACCGTCCGTAAATTCACGGATAACCTATGCGCCTGGGTGACATAATCACTGTAAAGATCACCGCCCGCGCTAGCTACCTACACTATATTACAATAAAAACACAATAGGTACACATAACCTGTGATGAAACTTCCTTCATACTTTCACCCTGGCTTAGGACAGGCAAAATTGAGGAATTAAGGAAAAATTGAGATTTTACTAAAAAAAATGTTGTTATTTTTCATTGAATTTACGTTCTATAAGTGAAACCAAACCACTGGTTTCAAGTATAACGGTGTTTACATTAACGCCCTGTGTATAAAATATGTATGACTGAAAATAATAAAGTAATTATATGTTCATTTGGCAAATGTTTGAGTTTTAATATGTTGTTTGCTTAAATTAATGTTTTCAATTTTGCTATATAAAAAATTTAGTGTATAGTGTATATTTTATACGCGGTAGAGCAACGTTGCAGCTATCGAGCGTCAGCTATTATGGTTGCAGCACTGCAACCATAATAGATGACGCTCGACGGGGGAAGGGCCGAGCTCTCACAGAATACCAGCGTAAAATACCAGTTTAATACTGCTGTGTTTCGTATGGTGAAAGTAGAAATCCGGAGACCCTTTTTAGTGGAAATGAGGCATCCCCTCTTGGTCCTCAGGCGTGACAACATATCTGCGTTTTAATTCTTAAGCGAGTATAAATGTAGATGTCTATGGGCCACAGCATCCACTTACCATCGGTGGACTGTGTGCTCGTTTGTCACCCTTATTCTATAAAAAAATATTTTTAATTAATAATAACGATAATCAAACCGTATCTGCTTATCACGTTAGTAGTTATTCCTTGTTTTTCAAAAAAAGCAATGATGATGATGATGATGATCAATTATTCTATTTTGGTTTATTAAATTATACAGATTTTAAGTTTAAATAGCATACAGATTTAATACAGATTTTAGCAGTGTCTAATACAGATAAAAGGTTCAAAACGTCTGGCAACACTGATTGTATGTAATATAAACCAAGATAGGAGTAATGGTAGCATAGAATATATACTAGAGAAGTAATAGTGTTCTGTGATGTAAACAAACTTCAAACTACAATTTTAGTGTTATATTTTTCATTTTGATATAAATAAATAATTAAAAATATGTACGGCCAAAAACCAATGTTCATACGGCCAGGTGTGTAATAAGTGATATAAATAAATAAAAAGACAGAAGTTAGGATTAATATTAATTTAAGAAAAACTTTTATACAACTTTAATATTATAACAAGATGGAACCACCCTGCAGCGTATTATGGCTGTAGCACAATTGGGCAGGCTCGACCGGGGAAATATAGTGCAAAATAGTAATATGTTGCTGTGTTTCGTATATCTTTATTCCGTGATGTTGGTGCTGTTAGCCCTTTTGGCTTTTACAGCTTCATCCGATACAGGCTTTTCAGGCCGCGAGCTGTTTAAAAAAGGGAAAGGCAATGACGACGACGATGATGATGGTGGTTTATGATTTGGTATCGTTACCATTTATCATATAAACAGAGGGCTGTAAGGGTTTTTGAGCTATCTAACAGCTGTTCGATTGGGGGAGTGCGGACTCCTGCCTCTGACTGTCTAGCTTGTATCCGTCGAGTGTGTGTTTCGTATGGTGAGTGGCCAACCTCAGACATTTTATTACAAGGAATTACATCTTAGTCCTAAGGGATGTGAAAGCATTTATAATCATAATTGTGTACATATTTAGATGCGCAGATGTCTTTAAGCCACAGTAAATTATCCTTGTTTTGCAGAAGAAAGCTGTAAAAGTAGTTTTAACCTAGATCCAAAGGAGTCTATTAGAGCAAAAGTAAAAGAAATAATTGTATTAACCAAAATATTAAAATTTATTTTAATTGACCTCAGTGTATTTACAAAAAATTATTTTTTATTTTTTACAAGAATACAAATTGTTTTATTAAAAATTGTGATTCTGTAATTACTAGGAACAAGCATGAGCTACTTATACCAGTAATTCAACATCAAAGAGTTAGTTATTCCTTCATGGGGCAATGTATAAACTATTACAACAAAATCAAAAAATATGCAGAAAATATGGCTAAAATGCAAGGTATAAAGTTTAAAATTTTATTTTTGTAAATATTGTTCAATGAGGGTTATTATACTACAAAAGAGTACATGAATAACCCCTAAGAATGAGGTCATCGCTACTACGCTGATTTTAAATGTTTTAATATTTAATACAACATAGTATATAATGTAAATTATTGCTTAAAAAATACTCTTCACTGGGTTTATTTGTTGCTGGTGGGTGGCAAACCAGTCATATATGCTTAAATGACTTCATAATTACTCTAGTAATCTAAATTGAATAGAAATTTTATTGCCATGTCATTAGGTAGACTATGTGTAGTTTTGTCATTCTTACTTCTAAATAAACCTACATTAATCTGTGTTTTCTTTTTTTCAGGCGATGACACATTATATCCAGTCAGAAATAAAGATGGTGCTGTGGAAACTTTGTTAAACCCTAATGTAGACTCTGCTTTATCATTGGATAGTGACTCTAAAAGTAATTTTGTCTACAACAGATATCATCACTTGCCTCTAGAGGCTCAGAGGCAAAAATTACCAGTGTTTCAGTATAGAAATCATATACTATACTTATTAGAAAAGTACCAAACTTTAGTATTAGTAGGTGAGACAGGATGCGGAAAGTCCACACAAGTTCCACAAGTAAGTAGTGTATTTAACGATTTCTTATTACATGAACACTACACATTGATTAAAACTACTTTTACAGATTTTATCGCATAAATTTTAAATGAATTTGATGAAGCATCAATGTTCCAAGAAGTCTGCAGTTTGTGATCATATCCTAGATGGGCCCCACCATTACATTAGATTTGATAGACCACAAATCCTCGCGAAAGAATATCGATTCCTATCAAGGATGATACATGAGGCTATTGAAATTAAAAAACATCTTTATTTCAATAGAGAAGGAGGCTGGGTACTACCACCTGCTTGGAACCCTGTAATTAATAAAATTAAAACTAAACCCAAGCATACATCTGCAATATTTCAAGACACAGTAAGTTCATTCTGCATAGATTGGACCATAAATAATAATTAAAAAGCTGAAGGGACTCCGGGTTAACATTAACATCGGGACATCAGTCAACTCCCCCATGACCATGGGTGCTGGAAAGCACCTGAAACGTCAGGATTTAAAAATCATTAAAAATGAAACGTGATAAAATCCGTAAAACTAGTTTTAACCAATAAGTAGTGTATTTTTATTATTTACTGTTGCCACCTATTGATTACTGAGATTATTCTCAATTGATCCATTATTTATATAACAGGTTCGATCACCTAGCTATGTTAGTTAATACTACTTTAAGTTTTAGGTGTAATAAAGACTTGGTAAAGTAAAATATAAAAACATACGTAGGTATTAAATTTCATCCAAATTGTTACAGTTGTCTCGGAGAAACCGTTAGAAACAGTTATATTTATAGCTTATTAAAGTCGACTACTGAGAATAGGCCTCTCCTATAGATTGCCTAATAGGGGGTATATTTGCCATTGTTGCGAAGCTTGGCAAGCGGGTTGGGAACTGCAGTTTATTTTTATTTTCAGTTGTTATTAGGAAGATGCTGCTGCCCATCTCATGATTTGTTTCCCTCTGTCACCCATCACAACACCCACGGGATGGTATGGGGCACTGGATATTCTTCCACTGCCACTGTTTGGTGCATTTATGTAGTGGTAGTTTTAAAGGTAGGTAACGTGGGCTAGAGGAGCCGAGCATGAGCTAAGCACAAGCTGAGCTGCTCTACTCGCGGTGTCAATTGTGGACGTACAATGAGCCTACAACATGCAAATCGATGCAGGGGATGCAAGTCCTTATGTGTTCATCAACAAACCGACAACAGGCGAAGCACAGTCAAGCACTAACCAAATGCTTGGAACGCGCTGATTCGAGTCTTGTAAGTTGGTCCACACTACACGAATTTGTGCTTGGCTCATGCTCTGCTCATGCTCGGCTCGTCTAGTGTAGACCCACCTAAATGAGTATTGATTAGTATCCCCCTTAAATGGCAATCTATATGGGAGGCCTATGTTCAGCTGTGGACTTTAATATGCTCTAACGGTAATAGTAGTGCGGATAAATCGAGTTTGTTACTTTATGCATAAAACCTTACAGTATATATAAGCTAAGCTTGCTTCTTTCTTATGTATCCTCTAAGGAGCTGATGCTCAGAATTTCCTGATTAAAAATCTTAAAAACGGACCAAGCAATACCATTCAAGGTTACAAGTTCAAAAGGCATTGGACTACATATAATGTACCTAAATACATAATTTTAATATTTTATGTAATATTATGTACTTGAATTTCAAATCGGTTTGCCCTATGAATTTAATGCATTAAAATTTTCTGTGTTTAAAATAGGTTCATGTTGGCTAAGATATCGCGTAATATAGGGAAATACATAACTACAAAAAACTCTTAATTGAACGTCCTTTTTAGTCTGCTAAAATGTGGCCTAAAATGGCGAAACAGACTTTATTATTTACCATAGTATCATTTCATTAAATAAAAAATCCTTATAGATGCTGTTTTGGCGGCAAACAGCGTGATTGTTTTCAACTGATTGGTTTTAGTAATTTTTTTTGCTTGAGCCTGGAACTTAACCTCTGAATCAGAATCAGAATCAGAATTTTTATTTGCGTAAGAACATGGTATATAAAGGTGGTACATGTTAAAAAGGTGCACATGTCTCGCTATTACAAATAGCATGCAAAATTAATATTATTATCTTGTATAATCATAAAAATAATATCACAAAGTCTCATTACAATAAATTACATTGAATTAAAGATAAATTAAAATATATAATATAACATGAATAGTATTAGGGATTGATGTCAATAAAGTCTTTAATGTCATATATTTTTCTGTCAATGAGCCACTTAAATAATTTTGATTTAAATTGATTAATATTTAAATTTTTGATGTCATTAGGAATTATATTATATATCGTTAAACACATTTTTAGGCAACTTTTATGGTATTTAGCTGACCTTGGGATAACGTCTAACACAAGTCTATTAGGATTTCGCTTCAATCTTGTGTTCATGTCACTTGCTTTCATAAACAAATTGATATTTCTCTTCACGAAACAGCTTATTTCAAAAATATATAGTGCCGGCAGCGGAAGTATGTTGAGATTTGCAAAAACTGTTCTACAGGATATGGCGCCAGGCGGTATTCCAGAGATAGCTCTAATACACTTTTTTTGAGCTATAAACGCCTTTTGTATATTTGTGCTATTTCCCCACATTATTATCCCGTAGCGCAAAATGGAAGCTATATACGCGTGGTATGTAATAAGAGCCGTTTGTAAGTTTGTCACTTTTCTCATTTTGTTAAGGGCATATACAAAACTATTAATACGATTACACAAAGACTCTATATGTAATTTCCAGTTTAGGTCCTGGTCTATGACTACTCCCAGAAACTTGGTAGACCTTATTTCCTTTAATTTATTAATATTTAGCTTAAAATTTAATTGTTTATGTTTGGATTGATTAAATTGGATAAAATGTGATTTATTTAGATTTAGTTTTAAATTGTTTACGTTTAGCCATTAAATAACGTTGTCAATTGTTTTATTTATATCAGTTTCGTGATCGTGTATAGTTTTTTTCAGATGTCACAATCATCGGCGAACAAAACACATTTATGATTTGTCACTACCGTTATATCGTTGATATATAAAAAAAACATTAGAGGCCCTAGCACACTTCCTTGGGGGATACCACACTTAACAATTTTTGATTCAGAAGCGTAAGATAAAACTTCGTCGCCTACTAACTTGCTGACTACTACGCGTTGACTTCGATTGTTTAAGTAGGATTTTAGCCACTGATAAGTGGGTCCTCTTATTCCTATTGATTCTAATTTATTTAATAAAAGTTTGTGATCAACAAAATCAAAAGCCTTTGACATGTCAAAAAATAGTCCTGTGGTCAAATATCCGTCATTTAAATTATTTAATATTGTTTTAACTAGAGTGAAGATTGCTAATGTTGTGGACTTTTCCTTTTTGAAATCCAAACTGTTCTTTATTAATAATATTATACGTGTTACAGTATTTCATTATTCTTTGATGCATGCATTTCTCAAATATCTTAGATAGAATTGGAATTAAAGTAATGGGACGATAGTTGCTGACCTCATCTTTTGCACCTTTTTTGTGCAGAGGCTTGACGATAGATTGCTTCAGCAACTCAGGAAAAATACCCATTGAGAATGAGAGGTTTATAAGGTGTGTTAAGATGGGCACAAGCTCTTTAGTAAATTCTTTAATAATTCTCGTACAGATTCCGTCAAAACCCTCAGAGTTAGTATTGTTTAGGCTAATAATTTCTTTTTTAACTTCATTTTCATTTATTGGAAGAAGAAACATTGAATTTGGCATAATCTTGGTATTTTGATTTCGTTGTGTATTAATCATTGTAGTATCTTTAAAATTAGTCAGTTCTATGAAATAATTATTGAAAGCCGCAGCTATGTCAGAAGGATTGGTCAATATCTTATGGTCAAAATTTATTTCGGAAATGTTATTATCTACTTTGGAATAACAGGTTTCATTTTTTATTATTGTCCATGTCGCTTTACATTTATTTTTACTATTAGTAATAAATTTCATATTAGAATTCTTTTTTGAATTGTCAATGCATTTTCTTAAAATTTTAGAGTACGTTAAATATTCATTTTTATTTTTTTCTGTTTTACTTTTATAGTATCTGAAACGTAATAACCGCTTTGTTTTACAGCTAGTTTTCAGCCCGTTGCTTATCCATTTTGGTTTATGTGTAATAGAATTATTGATCCGAATTTTTTTTTACTGGGAAACATATGTTGTAGAATAGACAAAGTTCAAGATGAAACTCTGCGAATGCCGTGTTGAGATCAGTGTTCGAGTAAATTTTGCTCCAAGTCATACTGTCTAGACACTCCCTGAATTTGCGGATGTTTTCACAACTGTAGTCCTTTCTCAATATAGTAAATGACCTTGGTTTAAAAGATTGGCGAACTGGAAAACTTAAAAGCTGTGCGGTGTCATGATCCGATAAATATAGGGGAATCACTTTGGCAGTAGCGTCTTTGATATTGCTAAGGACATGGTCAATACATGAATCTTTGCGAGTTGGTACATTAATATGTATATTCAAATTATAATTACGACATAAATCACTAAAAAAGATTGCAATATTACCTTTTTTTAAAGTGTTGATGTTAAAGTCACCAGTCAAGACAATTTTGGTATCATGTTTATGCTTTCTTAATAGGTCAAATAATAGCTGGTCTAGTTTATGTAGGAAGACTTTTGGGTCTGATTTGGGTGTACGATAGATACATATAACTATTAATTTATGCAGAGGTATTTCAATTCCACAAACCTCGAAAGTGTTTTGGGTTGCATACGCTTTTAGTTTTGTAATTTCCCGGTAAGTACTGTTCTTTTTTTTTGCTAAGATACATGTGCCACCCCTCTGCTTATCTCTACAAAAGGCTGTTGCCAACTTATAATTATTAAGGTTTATATATTTTTCGTTGCCTGTTTTCAAAAAGGTTTCAGAGAGACATATCAAATCCGGCTCATTACCAGACTTGTTTAGTTCCTCTAAAGTGATTTCCAGAATATCTTGCTTTGCTAGTATACTGGCAATGTTTTGGTGCATTATATTGAAATGATTTTTGGTTTTATTGCCTTGAGGTGCGAAATGAATTGTTTTTATTTATTCGTGGGAAAAACTGATGTAAAGTAGTTTGATTTAATCGCGATGATTTGGTAATAGCAGTATCGTTAGAGCTATTATTCCTTGGTAGGGCTCGAGAAAAGAAATGTGGAATGGTTTCTTTTGTGGGTTCTACCTGAATATTTTGCATTTTAGGCATACCGCGCACTATAAATTTTCTCAGCTGGTTAGGGTTGAGATAGTTGCGTTCATAATCGATACAGTCAATCACATAATTAATAGACTTAGCTAACTGAAAAACATTACTAGAGTTGCAGTTGATATAGTGGCAGTTTTGATATTTATTACAAATTTGATTTATACTGTGGTTCAAGTCAATTACATTCAAGTACTTATTCGACAATACATTTATTACAATTATGTCATGTTTAATAAACTGTTTTACTAATCTGTGTAGGTTTGCAGCTGTAATTTTCTTATCGTAATCGTTTTCTCCAATACAAATTATTATTTTGTCACTAGAATTAACTTTTAAATTGTTTACATTACATAATACATCTGGGGACAGTGCATACGGCTTTGTGCAGTAACGACGTATTTTTCATATTGTGTGTGCTGTCTTGTACGCATTAAGGCTGCCGACAGCCCAATACAGCGTTGCTTTCCGAAGACAAATATCCGTTTACTATCGTCAGCATGTCTACAGCATTCAATGTTCGTCCTTTCAAGAATCTCTTGTGAGTCATATGATAGTCTTTGTTCCAATGTATCAATATATTTTTTCAGCTTCAATATCTCCTTTTCTGCGGATTTTAGTTGCTTCTGCAAGATCTTAATTTTATCGTAGAGGGTTTGTAGTGAAGAGTCCAGGGGAGCTGTTTTGACGGTTGATGTAGGTTTTGAAAATGTCATGGGAGATACAGCTTCGGGTTGTAGTATTAAGCGCCTATTACTTTTTTTGGAGCAATGAATTGTTTGGCTGTCGTTTAGTGGAGATTGGCACAGGGCCTTTAGCATATCATTTTCCTTTGCCAATTTGCTAAGTTGCTGACGGAGGTTGTTATTTTCCAATGAAGTATTATCAAATTCATTCTGTAGGATTGCATACTCTGACCCTAGCAGACTGATAGTCTCTTTCATTTCCTGAATTGGGATTGGGTCGGTCACAGTGCAGTCCAAACTTTTTGATAGTCGTATATCCAGGGAATCAAGAGTCTCCTGCGTTATTGAGTCATTACTCAGATCAGGGATCGGCGAGTCTAATGACAGATGCGATGCAACACTCGTGTTCGGTGTTTGTGATTGTTGTTCATCAGTGCGTGATGACATGCCTGAGGGTGTTCCTTGGAGGTGGTCTATATTTGAGTCTATGCTCACTGGTGTCGATTTCGAAAATTCAGGCGCATTTGCTATTAGGGTCAGATTGGACGAAGAAGTATCGCTTAATTTTGGGATATTGTCCTTTTTCCTTTGAGCCACATAAAATGGGGGATTTGGTGTAGAAGTCTCCTTCGCTGTTTTGCAACACGACTTACATTTCCAATTCTTTTTTGTTTTTGCATTTTTGAGACAGTGTAGTTTTTCAGAGTAGCCTATGCAATCGAATTCGAAATAGTTGCAGCACAATGAACATAATACTGTATTTTTTGAGTCAACTATCAGTTTGCATTTGTGGCATTTAACGGTAAGCGCCCTCTTGCGCTCACTGATAACACCTTTTTTAGTGAGTTTCGACATTCTGTAGTATATCTCAGTATACACTTAATTGCAGAAATAGTACCGTTATATCTTGGTAGATGTCACGCTCTTGGTAGATGTCACGCTTCTATTCATCCTCTCTTGTCTCAGCTTTAGTTAAGCCACAGAATATAATTATAATAGGCTACCGCCATAGGCTTAGCTTCGCGTTTCGCGCCATTGCCATTGCCATGTTTGTTTTGTATTTGTTATCCATTGCGACTGCCGCGCGAGTGCGAAATGCACGCATCCTCAACAGAACTTTTTTGCGCGAAAACGTAGCATGTAAATAGTGACAAACTTTACAAAGTTAAAAACTTAAATAACAAAGTCAAAAGAATAACGTGCGCGTTTACCATTGTTTTTGTGTTTTTTTTGATAAAATATCCGGCGTTAGGCAAGTTTGAAATCAATTTTACGAACTCCTGGCGTGTTGCAGAATCTAGGATATAAAGTATAAACTTTCAAGGCTTCGGATTGTGTCTGCTATGTGTTTTGGGAATCGACGTGAAAATTACAAGTGTGAAAGTTAAAATTAGTAGCGAAAATGAAAGATGAAAGTGACTTATGATTATGACTAAAGTAGACAGTTAAATGCTTTTTGTGGCTAGCTAACTGGCTATAATACACGGAAATTTATTTATAAAACTCGAGTAGCCTACGCTGATTCGAAAATGAAGTGTCGATTTTAATACTCTAGCTAATAAAACAATAAGGCGTGAGCAATGTCGTCCAATTAGAAACTCTTATAACAGACGTAAACTGGGAAGAAGCCCTGCAACTTCGATTTATTTCAAATCTTTTACTGCGACCTTGCCTACGATTATATACCTACGTAACGCATAAATATTTTAAAATCAAAATGATGTGGCCGTCGTCACAGGCTAGTAAGATACTTACGCTTCCACTGATCGCAGTGGTTTACTGCGTACACATGGACACCTTCCTATTTTTGAGGATACAGAATTATAAATTGGATATATTTGATGCACCAACTGACAACACGATGCAAGAGGCCTCGACGCGTATTTATGATAAGCCGCAACAGAATTACGAACATGTAACATGGATTCCTTGTAACATAAATCCATTATGTCATCCCACGGTCAAGGCTTTGATGGTTGACCATATAAATCATTACATATACGGTCCGTTATGCGCTATACTAGACCTAGGTCTAGGTATTTCAGAACGTATGTTATTTATAACGCCAAATATGATTTCATTGTTCCATGTACTAATAGCCTGTATTGGCGCTAAGTTGTTGACTTGTCAGAACCTCGCGGCGAGACGCTCTGCGATTGTGCTGTTTCAAATAAGAATGTTTTTGGACGATTTGGACGGCCATGTAGCGAGGGAGAGGAAACATATCAAGGGCGAGAGGTCGGAGGTTGGCACATTAGGTTATTGGGTCGACGGTATTTGTGATTTAATAGGCGTTATTGCCATGATGTTGGGGATATTGGTGTATTTGAAAAATAACCCACCGAGGCGCGGTTACAAAGGCACCCCGGCTAGTACATTACCATATCATCCGCTGAAAGAGATAAACTCGCGTGAGGATATAGAAAAGGATTATACTGCGGAGATAGGGATTTCTTACAAAACTAAAGTAATTTTCCAGCGGGTCGTGCAAGTCGTGGGTCTCTTCTCCGGCCAAATGTTGCTCTCTTCTCTCGCATGGAACCGATATATAGATGTTTATCAGGACATGCTCGAGAACTGTGATGAATATGATATCCTTAAACGGGAAACCATGTTCAAATCCGGTGTGTTCTTCTTCGCGACGGGTCTTTGGAGGATAGTGAATCCTCACGGCTACCTCCATCTCCTCTCGTTGGCTGTGTTCTGTGATAAGACGTGGGGCTTCCTCAGCGCTGTGCATTACAGCGGATATATTTGTTTGGTTGTCGCTGTGGCCATGTCCGAATATTTGGTGCAGAACATCAGGTCGTATGTTAGCTAGGTGGTACCTTCTGGATGGATCTGGAGATTTACTGATCTAGGTATGAAGTGTACACATTGGTAACATATCAGAATGGGTGGACTATGTAAGAAATCGTTTTACTATATTATATATATATATATATATATATATATATATATATATATATATATATATATATACTTTTATTAAATTGTATGTGTGATGTAAGATATAAATATTAGATAGATACGTTAATTACTGATATCGGATAATATAATATAAGGACTATGTGGTTATGTAGACTATACATATATTTTGTAAGTAACGTATTTATAAGTAAGTGAAGTGCTAGGGCGGTCGCTTAGAGCAACCCGAGTTTGGTCTCAGAGTCGAATATTTTAAGTTACGTAGTCCGTTAAACCACATTGGAGCCGTGTACTTTGTCCTGAAAATATAGGTACCTGGGTAAGGTCGTAAAAAAGAGTAAATAACGCACTGGAAGATATAACACACGGTAACACAATAACGTACTGGAATAATATAAAGGTCAATGTTCATTTGGAAATAGGTTCAAGTAAAATCCATTTTAAAATATTATCGATTACTTATTTTCATGAAATGAAGATTAAATAATCAAAAACGAATCTTAGACTATGCATAGATTGCAAGTGTGCGAAACTAATCACCAAAATAACACAACACAGTAGAATTAAAACCTACTAGGGGAGACTGGGGCTGGTCGTGACAGGGGTAGGTAGTTACAGCGGCAACGGTGGCTAAACAGAGAACGCTATATTGACGTGAGAAAGAGACAAATGATCACGCCACCACCGGTGGGCACGCCGCGTGAGCCAGTGGCGCCAGCGCTTTTGTGACAGGAGCCCGTACATGTTGGCGTAAAAACCGCAGGTTAGTAACATTTTAGTTTTTTCGTAATATTGGTCTAAAACCTGTTTTCCTTTAAAGCAGATATGTGTGTGTTGTGATATGTGTGCCTTAATGCTTTCTTTTTGCAATGAATCTACGTTTATACAGTTATATTTAGTTGCGTTTTCACTACTTAACCTTGAAATGTCAGTTTTGGCGTTGGGGCTAAAAGTTACATTTGCTCGGGGCAGGTTGTTATTTGTTACTACCTGCCCCGTAGTGCTGCTTGCCGACTGATATAATTGGAACTACATAATTTGTTGTTTTTTTTGTAGGACGTATAAAAGAAAAACTGAGCGTGGAAAAATATCTAAAGAGGTTTACGAAAAAGCAGCAGCTATTTTGGAAGAGGACAAAACTAAAAAAATTCGTGGTATCGCAAAAGATCTTGGTTTATGTCATATGTCGCTAACAAGATATTTGAAGAAACGAAAAGAAGCAAAAGAGAAGGGCACACCTATAGAATCTCTCACAGTTGGCTACCAGAAGAATAGAGAAGTTTTCAACGATGAACAAGAGCGCATTTTGGTGATTTACTTGATTAAAAGCAGCCAAATTTATTACGGATTGACGCCAAAAGATGTCAGGCAACTAGCATTTTCCTGTGCACTTAAGTACAATATTGTAATGCCGCAATCATGGCTTGACAATAAAGAAGCAGGAGTTGATTGGCTGACAGCGTTTTTAAAACGGAACCAGTCTTTGTCTATAAGATCGCCAGAGGCTACTAGCCTAAGTAGGGCTACGTCATTTAATAAAACTAACGTCGATAATTTTTTTCTAAGCTGGCAGACGTGTTGGATAGATATAAATTTTCTTTGTCACGCATATGGAATGTAGATGAGACTGGCGTGACAACGGTGCAGAAACCTAGAAAAGTTTTGGCTCCAAAAGGGTCCAAGCAAGTTGGTTCCATTACGTCAGTGGAGAGAGGGACTCTTGTCACTCTTTGCGTAGCAGTAAATGCAGTGGGAAACTCGATACCATGTATGTTTATTTTCCCACGAATGAAATATAGGGACTACTTTGTTCGCGATGGACCTCCAGGCTGCATTGGCGCTGGCAACTCGAGTAGTTGGATGACTGGGGGTGAATTTAAAACATTCATGAATCATTTCATAGACAATGTAAAACCATCTCCATCCAATCCTGTGCTCTTATTATTGGATAATCATTCTTCGCACTTGGGTATTGAAGTCGTCGAAACAGCTAAAGAAAACAATGTCGTATTGCTGTCCTTCCCACCACATTGCTCTCATAAACTCCAGCCCATGGATGTGGGGGTCTATGGACCATTTAAAAATTACTGTGCCAGCCAGCAAGATGCTTGGCTTAGAAACAATCCGGGTAAGACAATGACTATTCACAATATTCCATCTATAGTGAGTAAAGCTTTGCCCTTAGCGCTAAATCCGGCTAACATCATCAACGGATTTCAAAAGACTGGTATTGCACCATTTAATAAAGATATTTTTCAGGAAGATAATTTCTTGTCTGCTTTTGTTACTGACAGACCAATAGACGAAACTGCTAACTCAAATCTTGAAAACACGCCTGTTATAACAGAGATTACTCCAATTAATTTCCCTGGGACTCTATCTCCAACTCCTCCACATTCCTCCAAAGATAATACTATACCTCCTATACCTGGATTTATTGAAGAGGCCACTGAAGTAGTAGATGCTGCAGAAGAATGCGAAAGCTCCCTTTATGGTTCAGTTGCTGGTTGTAGCAGAGATCTGTTTCACAATGAATGTACGACTTTTTCTCCCGATACCATTCGGCCTTATCCAAAAGCTACTGCAAGAACAAATAAAGTAACACGAAAAACTCGCAAATCAGCTATTTTAACGGATACGCCGGAAAAAAATGTATTGGCACAAGAACAGAGCAAGAAAAAGGAAATTACATCAAAAAATAGAAAGGTAACTAAGAAAGGGAAGTCAACTGAGCCAGGAAAGATGAAGAGAGAAAAAACGCCTAAGGAAACAAGGAAGATTGCTGTGAAAAGGAAGGTCTTACATGACTTTGAGTCTGACGAAGGAAGTGTAGATGATTATTTTGCCTGATATGTTGTGAACCGTTTGATCAAAGTCGAGCTGGTGAGGAATGGGTACAGTGTGTTGTTTGTAAGAAATGGTCACACGTAAGATGTGCTAAGGGTAATGTTATATCCTACATATGTTTGAATTGTGAAAGTGATTGTTCAGACTAAAGTGACTGAGCTGTTTTTTTTAGCTTTTAGGATCTGATTGTTTTTTTAAAGAGAGACTTTATTTATTTTTTGTTCATGTGATGAGGCATAATAAATGTTTTGTTAATTCATACTAAGTTTTTGTTTGATAAAGAAATTTATAATTTTCTACCGGGTTGGAAGTTACCTAAATTTTATTTTTATGAGTCGTAAGACTAAAAGATAAGATTATAATTTTGTTCAACGAAGTTACTGTTTTTGTTATAATGAGGCAAAAGACTGCTATATAGATATTGTATTTTGACATTGTAGACATAATAATTGTAGTAAACTGTCATTGTTCTTAATAAAAAGTGTTATATTACGTTTGGTTTTTGTTGTAACATTTTGCCCCTTATAGTGTAACAACCAGCCCCTGGCGCGGGGCTGAAAGTTACACGCCTCTTTTCCTAGAATTCATTCATTTATGTCACTTCTAATAGTCTGATACCTAAAATTGTTTTTAAATTAATAACCCGAATAGTTACTTAATCAAACAAACCTACATTCCGGTAAAACAATCAAACAAACAAAAAATTACGACACTTTATAAAAAAAATGTCACGACCAGCCCCAGTCTCCCCTACTACAAAATAATGAGCTTATAAAAACAGTAGGTACTAATCAAAGTAGGTATTATTTATTAAAGAATAATAACGAATTTAACAATAATTATGTGTTTACAATTTATAATTAGTACAGAATAGATACTGTAATTATTACCATTTATCACGGAAATTTGTTTTACGTTTTTTTATTATAAGGCCTATCCCATTTGACACTATTCGCGTACGTCACGTATATTTAAGAAGAATTTGAAATTTAACGTTTTTTTTTTAAATGTAATCAATAGGCGAACTACAATATAGTATTAATTTAATAAGTAAAAATTAAAAAAAAAACTATTTGTGCTTATCTAATAAACTCAGCATACAAATGTAATAAAGCCACATAAAAAAATGTGTTTTTATTTTTTAATAATAACTTATTTATATTTTGCCAATTAATGAAATTTATTTTAAGTAAAAACTTGCTTCTTATCATTTAAACATTTTTTTTATAATATGGTCCTGTGCGAGTGGATAAGTTGACGAAAGGCGACGACCTCTTAATTAAAAACGGACCTAGTTCGGCTACTAAGGGACCACTAGTAATAATAAATCAGAATAGTATTATACTCCACTCTTATGTAGATACGTTAGAATAACATTACAACTTTTTCATTTCGCCGTAGTAGGTTAAGTTATTTGAACAGCCTCCTTTATAACATTCCAGTATGTGACATAACAAACACCATAACACACGTAACGAACTGGAACAAACACACTCGAAAATTCAAAACTCAATAATGAATACCGGTCATAAATCATGTGCGATTTACTTAATAAAACATACGCTGGTAATTGACTATAAATTTCGAATCAGGAACCTAGTAAACGATATCTTTGTACTTCTCATTGTTTACTGTCACGACTATAAATGAAAAAAATATGTCAAAACTGACATTTGACAGTAAGCCTACGGCGAAAGTAGGTAAATAATGTTGTTTAATGTTGAAAACAAAAAAAATCTATCCCATATCGAATCGGAGTAACACACTGGATAACTTTTGGGAGACAGAAACTTTTTTTCACTAGCATTGTATTATTGCAATGATTTATACACTATCACACGTCATCTTTATTGCTTTAAAGTAAACTATAATTTTTTAAACCATAATGCTTATATTATTTTATTCGTTGCATTTTTTCTCCCTGCAAGTTGATAGGAGACTGTAGCGGCGCTGTCGTCGCGCCACAAGCGAAATACACTGAAGCCTAAATCACGCTATCAACATTCCGAATCAGAAACAGTATATATAGAACATCTCCGAATTATCACATGGAGTGTGAGCCGCTCCCCGGGCAGAACACCTTGCCCGGCGGGAGATCTCCCCTTTTCCTTCCTCACCGGCCACAAGACAAATAAATTTTGTATGCAGCTTTATTTTGTTGATTCAAAAATATTTTTTATGTTTAAGCCTCTTGAATATTCTGGTTATTTCTACATTATTCTAAAAATGATTATCAATGTTTTATTAATTAATAATACATATTATCATACTTTTTGTTAGCGTATGGTATTCACAATCAAACATGGGCTCACTCAAAACTTTTAAAAAGTACATTTTTTTTCCGACCTTACCCACCTATATATATTTCACATTTTATCTAAATATGCGCGTCCTTTCCGCTGCGTTTTAGTAGTAGATTTTAGTTTTTTTTTTTGTTGATAAATGTGATAAATCCTAACAAACATACAAGTGAGACCAGTGCAATTTTAAATTAGACGATGTCTACCTACCTATATTGTTATTCGAATGTGAATTTATTTTACGTTATTTGTTAACTCATAATCTCGTAGAGTTATTACAAACAATGTGTAGGTACATTATTTTTAATCTCGATAGAAAAAAATTGTAACGTAGGCTCTAATTAGTTATATTTCTCCATGACACCACAATATTTTTACGAATGAGTTCATGGAATTTCTTTTTTTATAAATAGGCCAACCTGATGGTAAACGCTTTGCGTATGATATGATACCTATAAATGACGAATAAAGCGGGCTACATACGACACGATATCGGTGGCGATCTAGGGTGGAGTAGTGGGGATGCCTCCTAGATTGCCTCTAAATCGTGTCGTATGTAGAGCCATCCTAAGTCGTAGCCGATATCGCCTCCTTAATCGGCTGGCAGGAGCAAAAATGCTTCCTAGATCAGCCGATGCTTCCTAGATCGGGGCACCGCCCCCTCCTTACTGCGTGTGTGTAGGCGCATCGGCCCGATTTCTTTTGGCAGTCGCTGCCGGCAACCCTCGCGGAAGGAAGTTAACAAAACAGTGATACTGAATGACCTTTTTTATGTAACAAAATTTTTTACATTTTAATCATATAAACGGAGCAGAAGCCTATGGCACTGATATTTTACAAAAAACCAAAAAAAAAGTGAATAAAATAAATAAATTAAATTAAATTTTATCGAAATTCAAATCATATCCACCCTAGCCTGTGACCCTGCGAAGTGACATGGTCAAGAATGCCTACTAAACTAATTTTTTATTGCCGTTCGTAAAGTAGAGTGTATGATGTAAGTAAGGAAAAGTTAAAGCCTCTCCTCAACAACTAACTCCTATTCCAACACTATCAAAACAAGACCGCACTCATATCTCTTACAACTCCACAAGACCACAATTCGATCTCTAACGTGCCTTCATCCTCTTATAAACAAACTTCTACTCCTTCACCATCTCCACATCAACAAACAAGTTATATAAAAGGGAGTATGTCCGAAATTAAAGGTTTCTTTATGTTTAAAAAAAAGATATAAGCTATTTTATTTTCTGATAGTTTTACTCCATAAATAAAGATTACATTAAAAAAAAGTATACATATTATTATACAAAAGTATTTTATTTCCTTGTTTGTTGTGTGTAATACATAACCAGATTTTGACCAAAGCAGAAATGAACAAAGAGAAGAAATAACTAAATAGCATAGGTACATAGGAGAAATTGATGTTTTTTATATAAGTGGCGAAATCATTTCTAGAAGGTTATAAAAACTGCCTTCATCCATCCGGAGAAAATTAATCATGTCTTTGGAATACAATTACGTACATAACAATTTAGTACGTTTATGTGGCTTAATTTTTTGTCTCTTTTGGAGCCATTTTTCACCCAGCAACTCCTCTTTTTCTATTTTCGAATAAATTTACCGAGAGGGCTAATGCCAAACCAATACATTGGTGTTTTAAGAGAGTTGAAGCTATTTTGAAGAACTCTACCGCATATGTGTTCCGCTCCAAGTCCGAACGCGTACTGCTAGGCAGGCCCGTGTGTAGGGTCTGCCCCGATAAAAGCCCCGATTTCTTTCCACCCTAGATCGCCACCGATATCGTCTCGTGTGTAGCCCGTTTAAAATAACTTGCGGGAAACAATGTTGAAAATCTTTAGGGTTGTCATTAAGTCTTGAACTTTGAACACAACCTCTCCCCTCTTTTTATACCGACTTCAAAAAGAAGGAGATATTCAATTCGACTTTTCTCTGGATCAATTTTGATGATTCTTTTTTATCTAAAAGATCATGCTTTTCGGTAGTCCCATATAAATTTAATTAAGATCTGACTGATAATGATCTCATTTTAATTATATTGAAGTCGTTTGTACAAAATTTTATAATTTTACCACTTGTTATGATAAATACATTAAATACACATCAAATAGGTAAGTCAACGAACTAATAAGTCTTCCCAAAGAAACATTACTGTAATATTACCTTTTTTTTTTTATAAAATAGGGTGACAAACGAGCACACAGTCCACCTGATGGTAAGTGGTTGCTGCGGCCCATAGACATCTACATCTATCCTCCATTAAAAATCAAAATGCAGATGCGTTGTCACCCGTGAGGACTGAGATGGAATGCCTCGTTTCCAGTAAAAAGGGTCTCTGGTTCTCTACATCACCATACGAAATCCAGCAGCATTAAGCTACTATTTCACGCTGGTATTCTGTGAGAGCGTGGTCCTTCCCCGGTCGAGCCGACCCATTCGTGCTACAACTATACTACTAATATAACTGCAGCATGGCTCTACCACGTACAAATTATTACCTAAACTATTACCTGTAGGTATGGTACTATAAATTATTATTGTTTTTGAATTTAATTAGCTTTAATATACCTAGGTATTTATTTTAAACGTTACCTCCACACTAGGACTTTCTCCTGTATCGTCGGGCTGTTCACAAACATAAATTTCACAAGGACATACATCAAGACACGGAACAATTACTTG